ACAAAGTGTTCGATTGATTTATCCATTCAATTGGGAGGAGGGTGTCGCCACTAAGCAATTCAACGTAGTGGAGGATTTTCAACCGTTTATCCTCTGTCAGTCGTCTCAACCCGTTTCCTTTCCTCTTTTCAGCTGGTTCAAGCTTTCTAGTATTAGTTTTCCTGTGCAAGCTACTCATGGCGGTGCTTAGTTAAGGTTAGAATCGGAGAAGAAACTTATGATTCAGTTTGATGTGTGGTTAATGTACGAACCGATGATATTCTTTTTCTCTCCCTTTTAGTTAGTTTCCAGGAGCTTATGACAATCCTTTCTTCTTTACTTAAGTACTATTAATTTTGGCAGTTTGGTTGATTATTATTCTCAGAAACGGTTCAGATTATTCTTTTTTTTTTTAGATTTATTAATTTATCAATTCCTCTTTTCAAATTTTTAGATATGTTTAATTATCTCTTTTATATGTTAATTTCCAATTCTTACTATGTGCTAGCGCTCCTTTATGGACCTATTATCTCGAGCGCTTACCGTGTTTATGACTGGCCAGACCAGATGTTGGCTTCCAGTTGCTATTGAGACAATTATTGCTAAAATACACATTTACCAGATTGCAATCAACAACGTTTCTGATTCGGGAATAAATCGATGAGTCATGATTAATTTACAATGTGTGGATCGATGAACCTTTCACATTAAACTAGTGGCAATCAACCAAGAACCCGATCAGAAATAAATCGAGACGTAAATGATCAATTGGCATTGTCGAAATCGCTTAACTCTTCAATCTTCTTAAGGTGCTTGTTGGCTCGTTGTTCGTGTTTCGGAGGTTGAGGTGCACCCTGTGCGCCGCGCGCGTAACATTTTAAGGCGTAAAACGCCATTTCAATTGGCTCATCCATCCCCTTATATTAGCAAGCTGTTGCCTGTTAATAGTTCTAGTGTATTGATTTTGTTATTTAGGTTTTTTATTATCTTTCTAGATTGTGTAGGTTACTTACATTCATGTTTTGCTGTGTGTGGCCTGGAATAATGGAGCTCCCTTAGAATGCTGTTGAGTATTTCCTCGATCGGTATTGGAAGGGAACGTGCGCCGCTCTAGCGTTGGGATTATTCATCTGAAGGAGATCTTTTGTTATTGAAATATATTATCATTAATATCACATTTTCACGTGACCGCGCAGATTGTATTAAGTCAGGCAAAGTTCATCAAGAATATTAGTTGCATATGATATGTTAGTGTTGTGCTGAGGAGGTTAGTATGACTTTACTATTAATGGATGAAGAGGGTATGGTGTAAAAGAAAAAAAATGGCGTTGTGTTGTTTCTTTTTCTTCTACTGTTATTTGTTTTCCGCTTTTATAGTGTTTTGTGCATGATCTTTGGCATTCTTTATGTGTGGTATCCGTTAAATGGATGGCTCGAGGAAAGCCTCCAAAAAATTCTTGGTTTTTCTTCGCTCTCTCTCGGTCTGTGCCAACTCTTTTCTCTTTCCCCCGCTTTTCCTTACTTTGCCCGTCGCTCCGATGATTTTCTTCGGAGCACGTTGCCGTGGGATTTCGCCGACGCTGGATGCATCGTTAAGTGATGCGCGACCGTTGGCGCTCTGCTCCGAAAAATATTTGTCGGCGCACGTAGTCCTCAGATAGTTCTGCGGCGCCTTGTTACTGCGGTCACCCACGTTGGTTATTGTGGTGAAGGTACGCTGTGTTGTGTCTCAGCACCTCCTACCCTGTCGTAGGGCATATAGATGCAGTATTCATCGATGTGTTCAACTCTGAACAATTCGCAGTTGACGTCTCGTTTTACGGATCTCGTCGAGCTTTTATTGAATGTCCCGTTTTGCGTGACTCACCAAGCTTCTACTTAACTCTCTTCTCAAAGTTTATATTCGTATTTCTATTTACGAGGTACTCTTTTAGAGTTATAGTAAAGCGTCTCGTCTCGGGGATTTAAGAGTTCTGTTACATCTGCGAGTCTTCATTTATACAGTCAGCGTCTTATTCGACGGTTCTCTTGAAGGTATTATTGAAGTGGGTTAAGAGATTTCCTTTGTCTTGCGTTGAATCGTGCAAGCGAAATTTATATTTATTGTCTTTTCTAACTGAAGTAGGCTATCCTTTGGTCGTGAAGGTCTACGTAGGTAAGCATTCTTCTTGTGTCGTTAATGGTCCTTTAAAGGCTGATTAGGTGACGCTCTACTTGTCGATAGATGAGTTGTACATAGCGCACCATGCGCCGGTGTCGACGCATCTTGTTGATCGGTTGTCGTGCGGCATTCTCTGGCCAGCTTCATTTCTGCGAATCAAGTTTACCTCTTAGTGCTATACGAAGTTATTACGATGCCATCAATCAAAGCCACCACCTGATCGTACTTTGTAGTCTGCGTACGCATGCACTTAGAGCACGCCGTACTATCGGGACGATAAATAATGGCCAGGTGTTCACAACAACAATAACCGCACTCGTGGATGCATATGCACCAGCAACAACGCAGATGCCATCACCGATTAATCGATGACACACCAATCTAAAACATAAAACGGGACAGCACAGACGTCAAAGAAAGAAGTAACACAACAAACAAATTACATATAAAACGAAATCTGAGAGAGAGAGAGATGGTTTATTCACAGATAAGAACCGCCATCGTAATGAGAAGGCCGCTGAAGGCAATGAAAGATCGTCAAAGTAGTTAGCTCCATGACAGTGACAAAAAAATGCTGATGAAAGCCTTAGTCGGTTCACGCGACTCTCGAGAAACTCGGTTCCTACCGTTATCAGCAAACCAAAACAGTAAAAAGAAAGAGAGAGAACTCTCCTCAGCCATATAAAGGCTGCGAAATAAGAGCAAAAATCGCTTCAAGCTTGAACCAGTACTCACTAGATCTCTCTCGCTCAATAAGATATATCCCACATATTTTAAAAAACACTTTGCTACTAAAATCCTCCAACAGAATTCAATACACTACATAAATGGAAGACGATCATGTCGTACTCACGCAAGAAGGATACAACGAAATAGTGGCACTCATCGACTCCTTCACGGAAGAGATGCCTTCTTCATCCAGGCCCTACGAAATATGAAAGGCAACTGAAAGAAGCGATCATCGTGCCTATGAAGCCCTAAACAGAAAACCTGCAAACGTTACGACGTCACGAAAAGTAACCATGGTTTTAAACAAATGTTTTGTGACAAAGTCGTCGTGCCAACAATTTCAAGAAGTAAAAACCCTTGCAATATCTTTTCCAACTTCACATGAATATTAAAAATAATTCAATGAATAAATGACGTAAATAGAAGCATCTAAAGAACCTTAATATGATCAATACGGTAACTTGATTCCAGAAATGAAGGCTAGGCCAGAGAATGCCGCACGACAACCGATCAACAAGATGCGTCGACACCGGCGCATGGTGCGCCTATGTACAACTCATCTATCGACAAGTAGAGCGTCACCTAATCAGCCTCTAAAGGACCATTAACGACACAAGAAGAATGCTTACCTACGTAGACCTTCACGACCAAAGGATAGCCTACTTCAGTTAGAAAGGACAATAAATATAAATTTCGCTTGCACGATTCAACGCAATGACAAAGGGAATCTCTTAACCCACTTCAACAGTACCTTCGAGAGAACCGTCGAATAAGACACTAACTGTATAAACGAAGACTCGCAGATGTAACAGAACTCTTAAAATCCCCGAGACGAGACGCTTTACTATACTCTGAAGAATACCTCGTGAAATTAAGTAGAAGCTTGACGAGACATTCAAATAAAAGCTCGACGAGATCCGCAAAACGAGACGTCAACTGTGAATTGTTCAGAGTTGAACACATCGATGAATACTGCATCTATATGCCCTACGACAGGGTAGGAGGTGCTGAGACACAACACAGCGTACCTTCACCACAATAACCAACGTGGGTGACCGCAGTAACAAGGCGCCGCAGAACTATCTGAGGACTACGTGCGCCGACAAATATTTTCGGAGCAGAGCGCCAACGGTCGCGCATCACTTAACGATGCATCCAGCGTCGGCGAAATCCCACGGCAACGTGCTCCGAAGAAAATCATCGGAGCGACGGGCAAAGTAAGGAAAAGCGGGGGAAAGAGAAAAGAGTTGGCACAGACCGAGAGAGAGCAAAGAACATCCATTAACGGATACCACACATAAAGAATGCCAAAGCAAATACCATAAAAGCTGCACAACCAGTAAAAGTAATCAATCCCACCGCTCCAACGGTGACACATCGCTAATGGAATTTCAATTAACGACTCCATGCTCATCACACTTCCATTTTCTCACGACTACAATGAGCTGTACACCTTCCACGTCACAAGTAATCTAAGAGAAGAAAGTCGCGACCTCGGCCCCCCCCCCCGCCGCTCCCACGCCTTACAGCGCACACGCCTCACCAGGCGTGAAGTCGACCGAACTCAATTAGAGGCACGCCATCGCGAATTAGACGCCGAACTCCATTATAAGGCCACGCATTGCTAATTGCATGAAGAGATAGTGGAAAAAAAATATATGCAAACCGAGAACCTGGCCTCCCAGCCGATCACAGAATGTAAAGCATAATCGGAACTGACCCCACCCCTACAACTATATAAAAAGCTCGCCAGTCAGTCTGGTCACTCGAGCTTTACCACCTGGAAACATCACTACTACTAAACCAAAGCTAACCAGAAAACTTAACATCCTCCATGAACTCATAAGAGGATGCTAATGCTTACAAGCCAGAATGGCTCTTTCCATCTGACAATTCTGCACTTAAACTGTTCGTCCTAACAAACAAAATCTCAGTGGACAAACTTAAACAGGGACGAACAAACTGAACAAACATGGACCCTCTACGAATCTAGCGTACACACTAACAGTAACGGAAGATAAGACACAGGAAAAAGCTTTCAATGATTACTGGGGAGAAAAACAAGGGAATAAGACCATATCCATTGCAACGCTACTAGCCAACAACTTTACAAAAGACTGATAGAACTAGAATGCCAGCCGCCTTCAATCTTTCACAAACCAACTTAACAAACCAAGGCAACAATAGCTCCAAAGAAACAACCGAAGACTCTCTCATTCAGCCATTGAATTCTTTAATGATTGATCAACGCCTATTCAGCGGCGATATAAAACTACCAGAATTCCATTGTAACCCATCAGAATTCAGCACATTTTGGGAACTCTTTGAAGAACTCGATCACAAGCAACCCTTCTCCAACATAAGAAAGCTCTCCATTCTACTCAGTTGTTGCAAAGGAGACGCAGCAAGATGCCTACGAATGATTCCCTCGCACAGGGGACTCGTATGAAAGAGGCAATTGAACAGCTAAAAGATCAATACGAAGACCCAAGGAGAATAACCATACAAATGATCCGTCAACTCACATCAATGAAGCCATGTCATAACGACCCACGTACCCTACGTAACAATCTTAATGACATCAAGCCATCATAGCCACAATACAAAACAAGGTCGAAATGGTGGACAATACCTACATGGCTACATTAGTAATAGAAATATTCCCCACAAATTCAAGAAGGAATCGCTCACAAACAGTCCGACAGCGGAAGAGAATGGGCAATGAAAGATCTCATTACAAACCTAATTACTATAATCAAACGAAGGGAATTCATTGAAAGTCGTCACGAACATTTACATGAAGAACACTCAATTTTTCACATACACACTCGTGAGCCAAGAATGCCTTATTGCATTGGGTGCGGAAGAGCTCACCAATTTGAAAACTGCTACAAATACCGTACAACTCCAACAAAAGGTAGAACGCCTCGAGTCTCTAAGCGCCAGTTGGAAATGGTTTAATCCGCGACACAAGACAACTTACTGTTACAGACCAGATTGCGCTAACTGCAGTGAAATAACACAGCAATATGCCAACGTCACCAGAACTCACCAAGCCATCGCAAGCCCTTCCAACCATCCCTTCAGCATCCAATCATCAACAACATACGATAGACAACGTCCATGGAAGTATAACACACCCATTTTGCTACATTAAAACCACAAGCACCACAACGAATCCTCCAGAACAACAACGTCATACAGCGTCCGTCTCGCTTTCCAAGACGAGTATCACTTTCCCCACAAAGACCAAGACAAAACACACCACAAAGGAGAAAGAGCAGTTCCCCATCGAGGGAAACAACTAGTACTGTAATAAAATAATCATCGCCTTGGACTCAAAGCAGAGTAAGATCCGCACCACTGCCAAGAGATAATAACAGCACTAATCTTATTCTCGTGCAACCCCTCTACAGCGTCAATCTCCACGCTCTAATAAGATATCAGCAATACGAAAACCTAATTCAACTTTCAAATAAATTCTCCATGTTATCAAAATAATACAACGGACTTCAGTAATCAAACAACGCTTCACGCCAGATTGATGATAGCTCCACTAAAATGAAAACAGTCGGAAAGAAGAACAAGTATACGCACTCTTCGGCTCAGCGTCAGACCGATCATTCATTGCCAAGAGACGTAATAGAACCTATTTTACTTTACCAAATCAACATGTAACTGAACTGTTAATACGAGAAGCTCACGTCCGTTGTGGGCATCAAGGAATTAATGGCACTCTTGCTAACCTCCGCCATTCTGGATACCGAAAGACAGACAAATAGTACGAAAATGCTTAAAACATTGCCTAACATGCAAGAAATGGAACGGCAAGCCATACTTCTACCCAACATCTCCACCATTGCCAACAGCAGAACCCAACCTACAAAACCATTCTCACACATTGGAATCGACTTAGCCGGACCGTTCACCATAGTCGATTCAGACCACAGAAAAATCAAAAGATGGATCTTTCCATCTACTTGCATGACTATGAGGGCAATACATCTCGAAGTAGTTAAAGATCTAAGGGCACTTCAAATAATCAACGTCCTCAGAAGACTAATCCAGTAGAGGCAAACCGCAACTCATTATATCCGACAACGCCACTAATTTTAAGCGTAGCAATGAACTTCTTACATCCACGGAGAATAAAAACATCCTACAAGCTAAGGCGACACAACTTTTCCTAACCAATGAAAAAATACAATGGCAATTTATAACACCTCTTTCCCCTTGGAAAGGCGGTTTCTATGAACGCTTAATTGGCATTATGAAATCAACGTTAAAACGCGTAGTAGCAAAAAGAATACTAGATGAAACAGACTTCGCAACAATAGTCACAGAATGCGAAGCCATGGTAAATTCTAGACCACTTGCGTACTCAGGAAGCACTATCGAAGACTCGTTAATAATCCGTCCAATTGACTTTCTCATACCTAACGCTAACATCAATCCATTACTAAATACGAACCCTGCGAGCGACAACACCGACCCAGAATACATACCCAAAATCTCAACAAGAGATCAAGCTATTAAGTACCTACAAAGTCAGTCAAACTATCTCAGGCACCTATGGCAAGCTTGGCACACCGCGTATCTTCTTGAATTAAGAAACTATCATCAACGACGTATCAAACAAAAGAGCTTTACTAGAAAGCAGCCCCGTGTCGGAGAAGTGGTTCTCATCATGGATGAAGACATACCCGAATCGACTGGCCGTTAGGACTCGTAACTAATCTAATACAAGACCAAGATGATGCAGTCAGATCAGTTAAACTACGAACACTACAACAATGAGAAAGGAAATAGAGCCACATACGCAATCCAATGAAATAACCGATTCCAGCAAAGTAGACTCAATAAACCCTGATATAACTAACGGTCTGCGATTACGTCCAATTCTTCCACGACGGGCAAAACTAAACAAAACCTACACTCATACTACAATAACAACGGACAAGAGAGATATATTTCTTAATCGTAGCCAACCAACCACGCCATTAACGTTATGGAAGCACTGGCTCACTATAGCACTAGCTCTCACATTAATTAACCCTACAACCTCACATAACCAACACACAATTCTTCACTGTGTGACAGGAGGAATCAATATACAGTCACATCAACAACCTGAACGAATACAAGTATGTGGAAACTACTGCATTGAAATAAAAGAGCCAGACCACAACATAACCGTTCAGTTCCCACCTGAAGTAACATTACACACATATCACATTACATTGAAATCAGTAATTAAAAATGCCACGGAGGCCACCCACTGGGCTTGTCCTCCGAGCCCTTTTTGCGAACAAATCAAATGCAACTTTTGCACACAAATGGTTTCAAACCCCGAATGCTGGCCAAGAATTGCAATCGCTGTAACAGCAATTCTCCTCTACCTCACAGTGCTAACGGCATATATAACGTTTCAAGTAACTCGTAAAGTTTTGAGAATTGTAACGTACACCTGCGCAAAACTGAAGCTTCGCAAGATCTTAACAATGATCCTGCGAAGACGCGCACACGCCGAGACTCAGACGACCAACATCCGCTACTGGAACTCGACAAAATTAACACAAAATGGAACAAAACTACCATGATCCGACTAATCGCAATCCTCGCTTGCCTTCCCTCAACTACATACGGATGTCAACAGACAATCCTTCTACCAGCAAGCATATTTCAGTGTGACGACAACACTAAAACATGTCGCAATCAAACCACTTTGGTGACAAAACTTAACCAAATGCAACCCGAAATGTGCATCCAATTACAACACAACGATCAGCAAGTCCACTATATGCACATTTCATTGAAAAACCTCATTCTTCGATGTCGCAAAGAAACCCTCTACTTTACACGAAATACAATCACTAAGGTTAAGTACCAAAAGCGCTGCCCCGGTAGAGGCACATGCACTGGGTTGAAATGCGCTAAAATTAACACTAACACTTACGTCAACGAACTCCAAGAAGCAAATAATTACACAGGAATAACCTACTGCTCAGAATCCTGCGGAGGACTACTCTTGCGGCTTTCCTTCATCAGGATGTCTGTTCTATCGCATATACCACAAACCACTCGACGAAGACATATACGAAATATTCCACTGTCCCACATGGTTCCAAACCATATCACTTGAACTTAAAATTAATGGAGCCCAACAAGTAATCAAAAGCTTCGAATTACAACCCTACGTCAAAAAACGCATCGCCAACACATCTTTTGAAATCACAAGCTTCTCATTTCCACCAATATCAATACTTTACCAGCGCTTCCTTACTAATGGAAAAACAACGGCATTTATACGCCAAGACACACAATTTAGCTACGCATGCAGCAATAATATAGAACCAACAATATACTAAACAATAATGTACACAACCAATACAACCGGCGACTGCACTATAAAGGACACCTGTAAATGCAGTCCTGCCGAAGATTATGTAAACTGCTATTGCACTCACAACAATGTCTCTCAGTTCACACAATTATCAAATACACTACCTTTGCCAATACCAAGCGGCTTGGTCGCTACTGAAGGACTTAACAGCGTTCCCACAATTAGAACAAGTACACTGTCAGCAGAATTAATAATTCTGTTGGACCCACTCACAAAAGGTGTAATACAAGAAATTGAGAATTCTCCAATGTAACGTCCTCTCATCCCCACTCATTGGATGCTACAATTGCCTCAAAGGAGCACGAGCAACAATTTTTTGCGAATCGGATAACCAGAAATCATCGCACAAGTAACTTGCGACCACCATCAATTCACACTCACTTGCACTAAATTCGGTCAATACAACTACATCCTCTTGTTCTTTAATAAAGCCAGAATCCATGAACTATGCCAAGCTAAATGTGGTTCACACACTACAATATTCACGATACAAGGTACACTAAATTACATAAACGGGTTAACACCATTTTGGCACTACATTAAACTATGGGACAACACATCAAACACGGAATCCTCTTCACTATTCACTATCGATCTCTCTCTTCCCGATCTCTCGCACTTCTTTCGCACT